TCCCCCCCCCCCGGGCTTGTAAAAATACAGGAAGAGGAATATAGATATCGATATCGGAGTAGGCCGGGTTCGGGGCGGGCCGGTGCCTGTACCCCCCATGGGCGCCCCCGGGGGGGTTCTGGGGGTGTCCCAGAGCTCCCGAGACGGCCCGGGCCCGCCCCGAAACAGGCCGCGACAGGCCAAGTGGGTCCCAAGAGGGCCCAAGACGGTCCCAAGAGGCCCCGAAAACGCCCAAGATGCCTTCAAGACGGCCGACGAGGACTCCAACGCGCTCCTTGGCGGACTCACGAGGCTCCCCACGAAGGCCCTGGGAGGCAAATTGTATGTATTTTCCATGGTTTTTAACAGATTCTAGCGTTCTCGCTTTTCCCGCTTCCCAACGCTCCCCCACGGCCTCGGAGGCCCTTCAGATCGCTCCAAGACGGCCCTCGAGGCCCCGAAGAGGGCCCCAAGACAGCCCAGGAGGCTCCCCAGACAACCCAAATGTGCCCCAAGAGGGGGCCCAGAGGGGGACCGCGAGCAGATGTTTCGAAGTCTCTGGCACTAGAGGCCCCCAGTAGGGGCCCCGGAGGCCACCAAGAGGCTCCCGCGAAGCCCCGTGAGGTCCCCAAGAGGCCCCCAGAAAACCCCAAGGGGCCCCCAGGGAACGCCCAAGACGCCCCCCAAGACACCCCAACAAATCATGTCCCCAGAAAGCCTTCCGGGGACATGGTTCATCATGGGCCCGAGAGTTTCCGGAGGCTCCGAAGTACCATCGCGCTACGGAAGAGTTGTGTGGGAAGTTTACTGGGAACATGATCGCCTTCTCGCGGCCTTCCGCGGATCGTTTCGCACAAAGTTGCCCCAAGTGCCCTCTTGAACCGACGACGACGACGACGACGAAGACGTCGAAGACGACGAAGCGACGAAAACGAGGACGAGGACGACGCCGACGACGACGACGACGGCGACGACGACGACGACGACGACGACGACGGCGCGCCTCAAGAGGCGACGACGGCATTATATCGACTACGGCACGCCCCAACAGGCTCCCCAAGACGCCCCCAAAACCCATGTTCCCATGTCCCCAGAACCCATGTTCCCCCTACGCAACCATCCTCCCCGAAAGCCTTCTGGAATTCGGATTGACACGCATGTACTTCGCATTGCCCATAATGCGTTCAGAGTTATGGGCATTTCTTCACTTCCCGTTCAAACCATCTGTGGCCCACTACTTCAGTGGAGCAGCGAACGCGTCAAGGCTTGGGGCCTGCTGGAGCCTGAACGCGCACGAAGCGCGCGCGATGGTTCTAGTGGGAATGTATTGTGTGCACATGTGGATGTGCGAATGTGGCTCCTTGCAGATAGACGCAAGGGGGTTCAAACGCAGCGAGGCTTAACACAACGAGAGTATTTAGCCATGCGCGCGTCAACGGGATCTCGACATCTTCCTGTGAAGTCAGTCGCGTGGCACACTGCATCATGTATTCCACAGTGGGCACCGCGCTGCCCAGCAGCGGCATCATACATCATGCATCTCAACCTTCACACTTAGCATGGCGCACGCAGCACATGATCACGTCATCGGGTTGTTCTGCCGCCATTTGTCTTACTCAAGCCAAGTGGCGCACGGCGCGTGTGAAGTTCCTTCAATGAGGGTTCTGATAAAGGGGTGTGATGATCGAGCGGAGCTGAGAATGCTCGATGACGAGAGCTTTCTCTAGGCCTCATGCTCCTTGTTACGCTGGCCGCTGACCCCTGCTGGCGCAATCCGATACCGTACTTCATTTTGTGGCCTCCGACACTGTACTTCAATGCGCGTGCGTGGTCTGATGTGCTCGAACATTGGTGGGCATGGTTAGTGGGAGGGGGACTGGGGGAGGGTGAACGGTGGAGGAGGATTAGGCTGTTGCGAGGGTGTGGCAGAGCTTGTTTCGTTCCTGTCTGTCTTTCCCTGTTTCCAGGTGCGCTGCCGCGTCTATTCCGTACTGCATTTTGGTGGTTATACTGTTCTTATGGCCGTTCGCCAGTACGCGTTTCGTTGTGCGCATCAGTGTGAATGTATGTATGCACATGTGGACCTGAGAATGTGACGCCTTGCAGTTAGATGCAAAGGGGTTCAAACGCAGCGAGGCTTAACACAACGAGAGTATTTAGCCATGTGCGCGTCAACGGGATCGCGACACCTTCCTGTGAAGTCAGTCGCGTGGCACACTGCATCATGCATTCCGCAGTGGGCACCGCGCTGCCCAGCAGCGGCATCATATATCATGTATCTCAACCTTCACACTTAGCATGGCGCAGCACAAGAGCACGTCATCGGGCTGTTCTGCCGCCATTTGCCTTACTCAAGCCAAGTGGCGCACGGCGCGTGTGAAGTTCCTTCAATGAGGGTTCTGATGAAAGGGTGTGATGAACGAGCGGAGCTGAGAATGCTCGATGACGAGAGCCTTCTCTGGGCCTCATGCTCCTTGTTACGCTGGCCGCTGACCCCTGCTGGCGCGCAGTTAAATCCGATACCGTACTTCTTTTTGTGGCCTCCGACACTGTACTTCAATGCGCGTGCACGGTCTGATGTGCTCGAGCATTGGTTGGCATGGTGAGTTGGAGGGGAATTGGGGGAGGGTGAACGGTGGAGGAGGATTAGGCGGTTGCGAGGGTGTGGCAGAGCTTGTTTCGTTCCTGTCTGTCTTTCCCTGTTTCCAGGTGCGCTGCCGCGTCTATTCCGTACTGCATTTTGGTGGTTATACTGTTCTTATGGCCGTTCGCCAGTACGCGTTTCGTTGTGCGCATCAGTGTGAATGTATGTGTGCACATGTGGATGTGAGAATGTGACGCCTTGCAGTTAGACGCAATGGGGTTTAAACGCAGCGAAGCTCAACACAACGAGAGTATTTAGCCATGCGCGCGTCAACGGGATCTCCGGCACCTTCCTGTGAAGTCAGCCGCGTGGCACATTGCATCATGCATTCCACAGTGGGCACCGCGCTGCCCAGCAGCGGCATCATACATCATGCATCTCAACCTTCACACTTAGCATGGCGCAGCACAAGAGCACGTCATCGGGCTGTTCTGCCGCCATTTGCCTTACTCAAGCCAAGTGGCGCACGGCGCGTGTGAAGTTCCTTCAATGAGGGTTCTGATGAAGGGGTGTGATGAACGAGCGGAGCTGAGAATGCTCGATGACGAGAGCCTTCTCTGGGCCTCATGCTCCTTGTTACGCTGGCCGCTGACCCCTGCTGGCGCGCAGTTCAATCCGATACCGTACTTCATTTTGTGGCCTCCGATACTGTACTTCCATGCGCGTGCACGGTTTGATGTGCTCCTGCATTGGCAGGCAGGGAGAGTGGGAGGGGGACTGGGGGAGGGTGAACGGTGGAGGAGGATTAGGCGGTTGCGAGGGTGTGGCAGAGCTTGTTTCGTTCCTCTCTGTCTTTCCCTGTATCCAGGTGCGCTGCCGCGTCTATTCAAAACGGCATTTTGGCAGTTATACCGTTCTTGTGGCTGTTCGCCAGTACGCGTTTCGTTGTGCGCATCAGTGTGAATGTATGTGTGCACATGTGGATGTGAGAATGTGAAGCCTTGCAGTTAGATGCAACGGGGTTCAAACGCAGCGAGGCTTAACACAACGAGAGTATTTAGCCATGCGCGCGTCAACGAGATCTCTGGCACCTTCCTGTGAAGTCAGTCGCGTGGCACGTTGCATCATGCATTCCAGTGGGCACCGCGCTGCCCAGCAGCGGCATCATACATCATGCATCTCAACCTTCACACTTAGCATGGCGCAGCACAAAGGCACGTCATCGGGCTGTCTTGCCGCTATTTGTCTTGCTCAAGCCAAGTGGCGCACGGCGCGTGTGAAGTTCCTTCAATGAGGGTTCTGATGAAAGGGTGTGATGAACGAGCGGAGCTGAGAATGCTCGATGACGAGAGCCTTCTCTGGGCCTCATGCTCCTTGTTACGCTGGCCGCTGACCCCTGCTGGCGCGCAGTTCAATCCGATACCGTACTTCATTTTGTGGCCTCCGATATTGTACTTCCATGCGCGTGCATGGTCTGATGTGCTCGAGCATTGGCGGGCATGGTGAGTGGGAGGGGGACTTGGGGAGGGTGAACGATGGAGGAGGATTAGGCGGTTGCGAGGGTGTGGCAGAGCTGATTTCGTTCCTGTCTGTCTTTCCCTGTATCCGGTGCGCTGCCGTGTCTATTCAGAGCGCCATTTTGTCGGTTATACCGTTCTTATAGCCGTTAGCCAGTACGCGTTTCGTTGCGCGCATCAGTATACATATAACGGCGCACTGGGGCACGGCCCCGGGGGACGCGACCTCTACCACAAGTGTGTGTGTGTGTGTATGTGCAGGCCCTTGAGGGGCCCCAGAGGCCCACAAAACGCCACCACAAAGCGCCAAGAGAGCTCGAAGACGTTCCAAAAGGGACTCGACGCCCACAGGCCGCTCCAAGACGCACAGGCCGCTCCGAGACGCACAATATGGGCCTCAAGACAACCCAAGAGGCCTCCCAGACGCCCCAAGAAGCTCCCAGAGGCCCCCCAGGAGGGCCCGAAGAGGCAAAATTCGCTCCATTCCCTTCTGGGGAAACGTATATTTCTCGCGTATATACCTCTTTGGCTTTCACAGCGTCCAAGACGGCCCAAGAGGCCCCCAAGACTGCCCCACAGGCTCCCAAAAGGGCTCCAAGAAGACCCAAGAGGGTCCCAAGACGGCCCGAGAGGCCCCCAAGACCGCCCAAAAGAGCCCCAGGACGAGCCCCAGAGGGGTCCGAGAGGTGGAAAACCAGATTCAAATTCCGAGCTTTCGGCCCCCCAGGAGGCCCCAAGAGGTCTCCAGGAGGCCCCAAGAGGCCCCCAAGAAGCCCCAAGAGGCCCCCAAGAGATTTCACCGTAGCCATTTTGGCTCAAGTGTGTCCCAAAGCGCCCGCGAGGTAACCGCTTTTGGATCTAACCAAACAGGACATTAACGCTCCCTTGATGAGACCGTATCACCGCATTCCACGGCGCCCATGGCAGTGAACGTTCCGCGCGTTGTCTTTCTCTGCTGTGGTATGTTCGCGATTGCTCACAGTCTGGCCAGTGAGGAAGCGACGACTGCAGGGGTTGTGCCTGTCACGCCAGAGCGGCAGATGAGCGATGAATCTGGAGGTGCGACCTTTCTGAACAATTGGTACTGTAGCGGCGCAGTGATCAATTTCGGGTATCACGCCACTGCAGCGTCTTGCGAGGCTCAGATCTTTGACAACCCCTCATGCGGCTCCGATGTCATGCAGTCCACTTACCCGTCCTGGGGTTGGGGGTGCAGATGCTGTGCTCCTGGCGCGGGCAATGACCACTACGACACAAATTCGAAGAGGTACCAGAAAGCCGATTACCTCCTCGTGGGCAGCTACGGGTGCGCTTCGCAGACTAAAGATTTCGGCTACACAAGCAGCGCGGACGAGTGCTACGCCGCAACCGCTGGTGACTCAGCATGCGGTCTTGGCTTCATGTTCAGCCCGACTTATCCAAGCTGGGGGTGCAGATGCTGTACCAATCACAATCCGGGAGGGGCGAACAGCAATTGGAGGTTGTACAGATTGCCTCTGGCCCCGACCCCTTCGCCAACATCGTGCCCCACACCTCGCCCAGCGCCCAATCCCACGCCCTGCCCGACGCCCTTCCCGACGCCCTACCCGACGCCCTACCCGACGCCCTAACCGACGCCCTACCCGCGCCCGCACTGGGGCCTTCGGTGGAGCTCCCTATGGAGCCACGAAACGTGTGAGGGGTGTGCCGAAATGGGTGTGGGTGACGCATGCGGGCGCGGGCACTGGGGCCTTCGGTGGAGCTCCCTATGGAGCCACGAAACGTGTGAGGGGTGTGCCGAATTGGGTGTGGGTGACGCATGCGGGCGCGGGCACTGGGGCCTTCGGTGGAGCTCCCTATGGGGCCACGTAACGGTGTACTGGGTGGGTGAAGAGGAGAGGAGGAGAGGAGAGGAGGAGAGGAGAGGAGAGGAGAGGAGAGAAGAGGAGAGGAGAGGAGAGGAGAGGAGAGGAATGATGCTGATAATGATGATGATAATGATGATGATGACGATGATGATGATGATGACGATGAGGATGATAAGAGGGGAGAGGAGGCGGAGGAGGAGAGGAGGAAGGAGACGCGGGGCACCGTCTCTTCAAAACGAGGACCCAACACCACAGGATGGTTGGGAAATTAGCCTGGCGAAGGACCCAACCATATGCAGTTGTGAATGCCGCAATTGTGCTGGGTGGTGGCGGACGCATGCGGGCGGTGCCACTGGGACCTTCGGTGGAGCTCCCTATGGGGCCACGAAACGCTGTACTGGGTGGGTGAGACGCGGTCAGCAAGGGCTGTGCTGCGTGGTGGCGGACGCATGCGAGCGGTGCCACTGGGACCTTCGGTGGAGCTCCCTATGGGGCCACGAAACGCTGTACTGGGTGGGTGAAACGCAGGCAGGGAGCAAGGGCTGTGCAGGGTGGTGGCGGACGCATGCGGGCGGTGCCGCTGGGACCTTTGGTGGAGCTCCCTATAGGGCTACGAAGCGCTGTTCTGGGTGGGTGAAGCGCAGGGAACAAAGGCTGTGCTGGGTGGTGGCGGACGCAAGCTGGCAGTGCCACTGGGACCTTTGGTGGAGCCCCCTATGAGGCCACGAAACGTGCGAGGGGTGTGCCAGAATGGGGTGTGGAACCGCATGCCAGCGCAGCCACTGGGGCCTTCGGTGGAGCTCCCTATGGAGCCACGAAACGTGTGAGGGGTGTGCCGAAATGGGGGGTGGAACCGCATGCGAGCGCAGCCACTGGCGTTCGGTGGAGCTCCCTATGGGGCCACGAGACGTGTGAAGGGCGTGCCGAAAAAAGGTGGTGGAACCGCATGCGAGCGCAGCCACTGGGGCCTTCGGTGGAGCTCCCCATGGGGCCGCGAAACGTGTGAGGGGTGTGCCGAAATGGTGGGCGGAACCGCATGCGGGCGCAGCCACTGGGGCCTTCGGTGGAGCTCCCTATGGAGCCACCCACGAAGCGTGTGAGGGGTGGCCGAAATGAGGGGGTGGAACCGCATGCGGGCGCAGCCACTGGAGCGTTCGGTGGAGCTCCCTATGGGGCCACGAAACGTGTGAGGGGTGTGCCAGAATGGGGGGTGGAACCGCATGCGGGCGCAGCCACTGGGGCCTTCGGTGGAGCTCCCTATGGGGCCACGAAACGTGTGAGGGGTGTGCCAGAATGGGGGGTGGAACCGCATGCGGGCGCAGCCACTGGGGCCTTCGGTGGAGCTCCCTATGGGGCCACGAAACGTGTGAGGGGTGTGCCAGAATGGGGGGTGGAACCGCATGCGGGCGCAGCCACTGGGGCCTTCGGTGGAGCTCCCTATGGGGCCACGAAACGTGTGAGGGGTGTGCCAGAATGGGGGGTGGAACCGCATGCGGGCGCAGCCACTGGGGCCTTCGGTGGAGCTCCCTATGGGGCCACGAAACGTGTGAGGGGTGTGCCAGAATGGGGGGTGGAACCGCATGCGGGCGCAGCCACTGGGGCCTTCGGTGGAGCTCCCTATGGGGCCACGAAACGTGTGAGGGGTGTGCCAGAATGGGGGGTGGAACCGCATGCGGGCGCAGCCACTGGGGCCTTCGGTGGAGCTCCCTATGGGGCCACGAAACGTGTGAGGGGTGTGCCGAATTGGGTGTGGGTGACGCATGCGGGCGGCAGCACTGGGGCCTTCGGTGGAGCTCCCTATGGGGCCACGAAACGTGTGAGGGGTGTGCCGAAATGGGTGTGGGTGACGCATGCGGGCGCGGGCACTGGGGCCTTCGGTGGAGCTCCCTATGGAGCCACGAAACGTGTGAGGGGTGTGCCGAAATGGGTGTGGGTGACGCATGCGGGCGCGGGCACTGGGGCCTTCGGTGGAGCTCCCTATGGAGCCACGAAACGTGTGAGGGGTGTGCCGAAATGGGTGTGGGTGACGCATGCGGGCGCGGGCACTGGGGCCTTCGGTGGAGCTCCCTATGGAGCCACGAAACGTGTGAGGGGTGTGCCGAAATGGGTGTGGGTGACGCATGCGGGCGCGGGCACTGGGGCCTTCGGTGGAGCTCCCTATGGAGCCACGAAACGTGTGAGGGGTGTGCCGAAATGGGTGTGGGTGACGCATGCGGGCGCGGGCACTGGGGCCTTCGGTGGAGCTCCCTATGGAGCCACGAAACGTGTGAGGGGTGTGCCGAAATGGGTGTGGGGGACGCATGCGGGCGCGGGCACTGGGGCCTTCGGTGGAGCTCCCTATGGAGCCACGAAACGTGTGAGGGGTGTGCCGAAATGGGTGTGGGTGACGCATGCGGGCGCGGGCACTGGGGCCTTCGGTGGAGCTCCCTATGGAGCCACGAAACGTGTGAGGGGTGTGCCGAAATGGGTGTGGGTGACGCATGCGGGCGCGGGCACTGGGGCCTTCGGTGGAGCTCCCTATGGAGCCACGAAACGTGTGAGGGGTGTGCCGAAATGGGTGTGGGTGACGCATGCGGGCGCGGGCACTGGGGCCTTCGGTGGAGCTCCCTATGGAGCCACGAACTGCCGTGACGCAGCGGGCACGGTGCTCCCTAACGCGTGTGAGGGGTGTGCCGAAATGGGTGTGGGTGCACGGGCATGCGGGCGCGGGCACTGGGGCCTTCGGTGGAGCTCCCTATGGGGCCATCGAGTTGTACTGGGTGGGTGAAGAGGAGAGGAGGAGAGGAGAGGAGGAGAGGAGAGGAGAGGAGAGAAGAGGAGAGGAGAGGAGAGGAGAGGAATGATGATGATAATGATGATGATATGATGATGATGACGATGATGATGATGATGATGATGATGATGATGATGATGATGATGATGACGATGAGGATGATAGGAGGGGAGAGGAGGCGGAGGAGGAGAGGAGGAAGGAGACGCGGGGCACCGTCTCTTCAAAACGAGGACCCAACACCACAGGATGGTTGGGAAAAAGAACAGATAGTCCTTATGACAACATGGGGCGTTTGTGGATTCAACAGAAATGGTTTTCTACAGGATTGGGAAATAATCCCAATGGGAACAGGCACGCCGCTGAAATCAATGAGTCCTCGGGAATCCGCCCACATCATCCTAACTCCCCTTTTGCGTCCAGGAGGCTCCAGCGAAATTGGCCGTCCAAGAGGCAAGAGGATTGATTCAATCGACCATTCTGCGGTGCACGCTAAGATGCGCACGTGCGCTGTCGCGCCGACCCGCACGACAGGGGGGAAGGGTGAGGGAGGAGGAAAAGAGGGGACGAGGAGGATGAAGAGGAGGAGGAGGAGGAGGAGGAGGAGGAGGAGGAGGAGGAGGAGGAGGTGGAGGAGGAGGAGGAGGAGGAGGATGTGGAGGTGGAGGCGGGACGAAGGAAAACGTCGCATTCTATTCTCAGCACTTCCTTGGCGTGGCGTTTAGCTGTCCGCAGCAGATCATCACCAACATGTTCCTTTTACCTGTCCTGTGCACGCAGGCGCCGTGGTGTACACCAGCGATGCGTTGCACGCGGATGCTGTGGTGTGGACAGGCGATGTGATGTGAACAGGCGCTGCGGTGCACAAAAACATTGTGGTGTAGACAGGCGCTATGTTGCACATGGCTGCTGCGGTGTGCACACTCGCTGTGGTGTACACCGACGCTGTGGTGCACAAAAGCACCGTGGTGTACGCAGGCGCTGCGTTGCACACGGCTGTTGCAGTGTACGCAGGCGCTGTGGTGTACACATACACAGGCGCTGTGGGGCAGATCGCCATCTACATGCTGCTCGCGGGGGGTGTTACGTCATACCCCTCCCCGCCCCCCCTCCCCCCATGTCGCCCGTCATCGCCGAAAATAAAGAAACGCGCTCCTGGAAAGCAAGTCAACTGCTCAGCCGGTCAACCTGTCAGCTGGTGATGCTGGTCACCCAGTCAGCCGTTCAGCTGGCCACCTGGTCACCCGGTCAGTCGGTCGGCCAGTTAGTGATGATGTTGTTGTTTTGATGTTGTCGTCCATGCTGATGATGATGCTAATGATGATGATGGTGATGATGATTCTGGTGATGATGATTATGCTGGTCATGGTGATGATGATGATGATGATGATGATGATGATGAGGATTATGATGATGATGATCATGGTGGTTGTGATGATGCTGATGCTGATGATGATGATGGTGATGTCGATGATGCTGATGCTGATGACGACGACGATGATGATGATGGTGGTGGTGGTGATGATGATGATAATGGTGATTGTGAAGATCATGCTGATGATGCTGCTGATGATGATGATGCTGGTGATGTTGATATTGATGATAGCGATGACGATGACGATGCTGATGATGGTGATGATGATGACGATGACGACGATGATGATGACATTGATCCTGATGATAACGATGATGTCGGTGGTGATGATGATGCTGATGGATGCTGATGTTGATGATGATGCTAATGATGGTGATGATTGTGACGCTTATGATGATGACGATGATGATGCTGATGAGGATGCTGGTCATGATTACGATGATGATGCTGCTTCCGATGATGTTTATGATGCTGATGATGACGATGATGCTGCTGATGTTGACGGTGACGATGATGATTATGCTGATCCTTATTCTGATGATGACGATGATGATGATGATGCTGATGTTGTTCAGGATGATTATTATGTTGATGATGTTAATGATGTTGATGTTGGTGATACCGATAACGATGATGCTGATTCTGATGATGATGATGACGATGATGATGATGATGATGATGATGATGATGGTCATGCTGATGATGAAGATGATGATGCTGATGATGATGCTGATGCTGATGCTGAATATGATGATGATGGTGAGGATGATTGTGCTGGTGGTGATGGTGATGGTTGTCTTGGTGGTGGTTGTGGTGGTCTTGGTGGTGGTGACGGTGATGGTGTTGGTGATGATGACGATGATGATGCTGATGGTCCTGGTGATGGTGATGGTAATGATGATGATGATGATGATGATGATGATGATGATGATGGTGATGATGATGATGCTGATGATGGTGATGGTGACGGTGTTTGTGATTATGATGATGATGATGCTGCTGATGATGCATTTCCTGAGGACGATGGTGGTGGTCGTGGTGAGATGATGGTGGTGATGATGATGATAATGATGAGGACGGCGAATGATGATGATGACGACGATGATGACGATGATGATGATGACGATGATGATGATAATGATGATGATGATGATGATGATGATGATGATGATGATGATGATGATGATGATGGTGATGGTGATGGTGATGGTGATGGTGATGGTGATGGTGGTGGTGGTGGTAATTATGATACTGATGATGTCCACGGCCATTCTGGTTCAGGCCTTCTTTGGGTCCACTAGGCGTTGCGCTGCACGTAGTCTCTGTGGCATTGAGCTCTCGACCCGTCAAACTCGCAGCTCTCTCTGTCTCTCTGCGATGAGTCTCCACATGCCAAAAAAGGATATTGATGCGAGGGCAGCGCGTGTCGCAGCTCACCAGAAAGCGTACAAGGGCCCGGTATTTATACGTGAAGTTGCGGACAAGGGGCCTGGGGGCATTGCGCTCCACGCGAATAAGCACGTGCATTGTTGCCAGACTTTCTGGAAAGCAGATTTTGGGAGCGAGTCCGTGGAGCAAAAGGCTGCAGGTGAAGCGGCGCTGGTGGGTTACAACGTTCCTGACGAAGATGGGAATGAGGCGCAGACTGAGCAGGCGTCAGACGAGGAGGCTGTGCTTCAGGGGGACGTGCACAAGTTGAGCGCAAATCAGAGGCGCGCCTTATTATGCCTCGGGGAGGCTCGTCAGCATTCACGGTTCAAGCTGAAGCAAATCTCCTTGAGTTTCAGTGGCGCGTCCGTCTTCTTTTTCTCGCCCAGCCGCAAGGACGGAACACCCATGCCGTCATCAGTGCTGAAATTCGACGTTGCTGCCAACGTGAAGGAGGAGATTGAGTTGACCGAGCGGTACGGGAAGTTGTTTGGCTTGACAACTCCGAAAGTTAAGGATTCTCAATTTCTTGAAGACGTCTCCGAAGACGAACCATGTGCTGTCATGCAGATTGACCTATGCGGTGGCATATTTGGTCTTCCCGAGTTTGCTTCTGCCCCACCTGTGCTCACCTTTGCGTCAGTAATCCAGGGTGAGTTTACTTCTGGGAAGCGCCAGACTGATGTGGTGCCCATCGTCAACGAGGCCCTGACCCGACGCATGCTTGCCTTCACGATGTCTACGCGTTCCGTCAGGAAGGAGAATCTAGCCAAGATGTACAAGATTGTCCGCTTTGTCGGCCACGGCATCCTCAATCGAGCTGTGGAGGGTGCGAAACGTAGCAAACACAATGCTGCATTGGGCTTCGGATTTCTGACGCCACCCGACATCGATGACCTAGATCCCGAAGGCAAGTTCGTCAGTGAGTTGTGCGGCAAACGTTCTACCATCAAGCGCTTCTTCCAAGAGTTCATTGAGCAGGAGCAGCGATTCAATAAAAAGTTTGACCGGCAAATAGTTTGTGGCTTGGCGCACAACGATTTGCACGGCGGGAATCTACTGCTCGACTCACAAGGGCTAGTCTGGCTGATAGATTTCGCGACCGTGAAGGACAACGTCCACGTGCTCATGGACCTCTCAAAATTCCTTGCGTCTTGCCTCTTCTTGTATCTGGAGGATAATGTGAACGAGTCGCACATCCAAACGTTTGCGAAGCTGCTGTTCGCTACACCCGATGCCACAACAGCGCTGCCTTTAATCGGAGGGGAGCAGCTCAAGAGCGATCCGACGGCTACGTTTGTGCTTGAGCTGCTGACACGCATCAGGCACTGTCTCTGCATCTACGAGATTGGTGACGACGTCCCAGACAACGACGGCGTTCCATTCGCTTTAGCTTTCTTCTCGTGGTCGGCGCGAATGCTATCATACAGTGAGCCGAGCATGCACCAGAAGACCCGTGCTTCTTTCTTTGCCCTTGCAGGCGCTCAGCGAGTGATGTGGGAAGCTGGCGTTGACGTCGGACCCACAGCGCTGGAATGGATTGAACAGTACCGCACAGTCTGGGAGGGCCAGAAAGGCCGCCGGCTGAGTACCAGTGCGACACACGTGCAGGTTGCTTCTTTCGAGTTTGAATCTGACTTTCCTAGGTATTTGGCGCAGATTGGGACAGCGGAGGCGTGGTCCACTGACTTCCTCACCCGCGAGAAAGTACACGTGACTGACCATTGTATCAAAGTGGACGTGAAGTTCAGTGGGCGCATTTTCCCGCGTAGCCTACAGCTGCCGAAGAGCGTGAAGATTGTCTGCGAGAAGTTGCGCATGGTCCACCAGCAGTATCTACCAGAAGTGCTGAGTCAAGAAAGATATCAGGGTCGGGTATTCGTGATTGGCGATTCCGGGAGCGGGAAGACTCTCATGACGAAGCAGCTTTTCTCGGAAGTGGCACAGCAACAGCTGCTCGGCATCCGCGATGAGCCAGGAGACATGGCGGGTACCACGAGAATCAGCGGCATGAACCTCATCCCCGTCCGGACTCCACTTATCGACTTGGCTAGGCAGCTTGAGGCTAACCCGGACCTGCCTCTGGGGGCCGACCCGATCTGCGACTTGCTATCCGAGTGGATGCAAAGAAAGCATGGCCACGATTCCATCCCGCACAAGCTGGTCTATACTGTGCGAAATTGGTGCCTTGGTGCTGCTGACCGCGCGTCCAGGAGGACATCTGTTCTTTCGGCATCGGAAGGAGAAGATGCAACACGCGAGAAAGCTATCGGAGACCCCCAGCATTCAGAAGACATCAAGGCGTTGTTTTTGTTGTTCGATGGTCTGGACGAGGCAGCTTCTTCTCGGTTACAGGTGCTGGAATTCATCCGGTCGATACTGCAAAGCGAGCCGTCACACCTCTGTGTTCTCACATCGAGGCCAGGTAATTTGGGACCCTCGGAGTATGACTTGCTCGCGTCGCTGGCTTTCGTCTCGTTCAGGATGGGTGCTTTGACTCTCCCACAGGCTGAAGACGTTGTGCAGCGTACACTTACACGCGCTCAAGAAGCGCATGAGACGATCAGCGCCATCCGAAGCAGTGTGTCTGACCCGGGCTATTCCTCCCTCAGGGAGAATCCCCTCATTTTGACATTGCTCATCCATGTGCTTCGGAAGTTCCACTCTCAGAGTACAGAAGGCAAGAGTCTTCCACTGACAGATGACCGTGCACGAAAGGATGTCATGAAGAAGACTGATATCTACCAGCGTGCTGTGAAGCTCATGTTGCATCAATCTGATGCTGCAAAGTTCGCGATGCGGGATGGAGCCAATGACCAAGCGATGGTTCGCAGGCTAGAGATGTTGAAGAGCGTACGGGCACGACAGCTCTTCCAGTCAGTGTCGTTTCATTTGCACCAATTGAGGCTGCGCTCGACTTCC